CCAGCAGCCATCAGTCTCAAATAGTTCTCAATATAGTGCTGGCCCACCATCTACTTCTCACCTCCCCTTTGGGCCCTTGTTTAATTGAGCTGACATGGGTCCTGCGTTTGGCGCCACCACTGCTGCAGGTGTACATAAGCAAGCCTCCAGTGGCCTGGAAGCCTCCACCTCCTTAAGTTCATGAACCAGCCCTGGCTCTTACACTCTTTTGCCTCCTCTTCTGCAATGTTCCCTGAGCCAAGGGTGGGTGAGGTTCCATAAAGGAGTCGTATCCTACACTCTAGTCTCTTACTCTCCAAAACTTGACCTGTTGTAGCCTTCTCTGTATCATACTCTGATGTACATGAAAGCCTCACTGGTGAGAGTTGAAGTGTGCATTAGCACTCTCTCTACCCCTTATAACATATTCTGATATGTTCCATGAACCATGGTTGTAGAGATTAGACTTCAGATGTGTCACCTTGTACTGGGCATCTCCCAGGTCTATGTTCTTTGTACCTAACCAGATGCACAACGCTACAATAGCCTCCATCTGTTGCAAAAGGAAGTTTCTTTGATGAGTGCTGTACGGCATGTTTGTCCCTCTAAGGGAGGTCTCTTTTATCTGACATTGCATTCCCTACCAAACAGCTCCCAGGTGTACATATGGATTAATGTTCAGACACTATGCGCATTTCTCATGGGGTTTCTAGGGCATCACTTTTCCCTCTAGGTTTCCTAGCCCCTGGTGATTCATTCATCTCTACTATTTTTTCTCCCATCTGGCCTCTCTCCCTCTCTAGTCACAGTGCCCCCATTATCCCCACCCTCCCCCTAATACCTCCCGACTCCCACCATCTTTCCTTTCCTGACTTCCCTTGCTCCTCCACACTATGGTCTCTTGCATGTCCCTCCCTCCTCGCCTCCCTGCTGATTACTCCCACTTTTCCCACCTTGCTCAGATAGCATCTGTTCCCTACTAGCCCCCTTTCAGGTTGTTTATTTTCCTTTACTTCCATGTATCCTTAGCTTTACCTGGCTCCTGGTGTTACATCAGAATTTATATACTCACATACAAGGGATTGTGCTACAATCCACGAATGAGGGAAAACATGTATTGCTTGCTTTTCTGAGTTTGTGTTACTTCACTTAGTATAACACACTCTAGCTCCATCCACTTACCTGCAAATTTTGTAATTTCATCTTTTCTTACTGCTGAGTAGAACTCCGTTGAGTAGATGTACCACATTTTCATTAACCATTCATCAGTTGGGGGATATTTAGGTTGTTTCTGTTTCTTAGCTATTGTGAAAAGAGCAGCAACAAACATGGATGTACAGGCATCACTACAGTACGAATCCTTTGAGTATATGCCAAGGAGTGGTATCACTGAATCACATGGTAGGTTCATTTTTAGTTTTTTGAGGGTCCTCCACACTGCTTTCCATAGCGGTTGCACGAGTTTGCATTCCCACCACCACTGAATGAGCATTCCTCTTTCTCCGCATCCTCTCCAGCATTTGCAGTCTTTCATTCTCTTGATCTTAGCCAATCTGACTGGGGTAAGATGGAATTTTTTTTTAATCTTTTTGAGATAGGATTTCCCTGTAGCCCCACCTGGCCTGAACTCACTATGTAGACCAATCTGGCCTTGAGCTCACAGAGATACACCTGCTCCTATCTCCCGAGTGCTAGGATTAAAGGGATGCACCACCACTCCCGGCAAGATGAAATCTTAAAGTGGTTCTGATTTGCATTTCTCTAATTACTAAGGATGTTGAGCACTTTTTAAGGTGCTTCTTAGTCATTTTTATTTCTTCACTTGAGAACTCTCTGTTTAGGTCTATCGCCCATCTTTTTATTGGGTCATTTATCTTCTTTTTTGAGTTCTATATTCTGGATATTAATCCTCTGTCAGATGTGTAGCTGGTGAAAAATTTCTTCCACTTAGTGGGTTTCCTCTTCCCTTCCTTAGTTGTTTCTTTTGCTGTACAGAAATGTTGTAATTTAATGAGGTCCCACTTGCTGATTGTTGACCTTAGTGCCTGAGCAGCTGGTGTCTGATTTAGAAAGTCCTTTCCTATGCCTATACCTTGGAGGGTGCTTTCTTCTACCATTTTCCAAGTTTCAGGTTTCATATTCAGGTTTCTTTGATCCATTTGGAGTTGACTTTTGTGCAGGGAGAAAGATAAGGGTCAAGCTTCATTTTTCTGCAGGTGGAGATCCAGTTTTGCCAGCACCATTGCCAGTTCTCTTTCCTCCATTGTGTTCTTAGCACCTTTGTCAAATATCAGGTGGCTGAAATTATACGAACTCATGTTTGGGTTTTCTATTGTTCCACTGATCTATGTGTCTGTTTTTGTGCCAGTACCATGCTGTTTATGTAACTATAGTCCTGTAATATAATCTGAGATCTGGTATGGTGATCCCCCCAATTCATACACATGTATAAAGCATTCTTATTGCATGTATCCCACACCCTCTTTATCCCCCTCCCACTGAGTCTTCCCAACATGTTTGCCTCCTTCTTTCATGGCAGAGAGAGAGAGAGAGAGAGAGAGAGAGAGAGAGAGAGAGAATCCTACTGAGTTCAGAGTTGCTCATATGCGCATAGGTAGAGGAGTTATTTACTGGAACATGGGCAGCTATTAGTAGCTACACCACTGCAGAAAATGACTCGCCCTTCCCTCATAGCCATTAGCCAATGGATCCTCAGGGAGGGCTGAGGCCTTGTGAGTCCCTCCGTATTCCATAATAGAATGTTGATGGGCCCAGTCTTGCATAGGCCTTGTGTAAGTAACCAAAGCTGCTGTGATTTCATAAGTACAATGGTTGTGCCATGCCCAGCAGACAACACTTTACAACCCTCCTCCCCATCCTCTGGCTCTTATATTCTTAACAGGCCCTCTTGTGTGATATTCCTTCAGCCTTGGAGGGGGTGATACAGATGTCCCATCTAGGGCTGACCACTCAAAAGCCATTTATTCTCAACACTTTGACCAGTTATGATGAAGGCTGAAAGTAGCACTAATTCTGTGAATATAAATTAAAATTTAGCAGTTTGACAACATGAGCATTTAGCAAAACAATAGCAGTAAGTTCCCCTCTTAAGGGATATGACCTCCTCAACCACGAGCTTTTGTCGAGGTTTATAGTACCAAGCAAGAATTCCCTCCTGTGGAGCAGGCCTTAAAAAGCTCTTGGTTACCGTCATAACACTCATGCCACTATTGCACCAGTGGGCACATCATGCCTAGCAGATCAGTATTATAGTATACAGGATCCACAGATGGGTAAGGATGATGACTATTCTCACCTGGCAGCCTGCATAGCACCTTTCAGCACTATGAAAGCTAGCCAACAGGAAGGAAATTTCCAGTTCAGTTTCAGCAGGATTTCTCCATATCTGGCAATAAAAATGTGTGGAGCCTTAAGCAATAGGATCTTACCATTCAGTTCTGGTGGGCACTCAAGAGCAATGGCAACAGCCTGTGTTGTTTGGGGGGCCTCCAGGGTCTTCTTGATCAACAACTCAGAGATGAATCCTATATCTAGCACTGGGATTTTCAGTTCATTCATCAATAACCCATGATTTCTGAGAGCTACATTATCCATCCATGTAAGACATTCCATTCACCTTTTAAAATTTTATTTTAATCAGCTTACAGAGTAGTAAGTTTCCTTATAATTTTTCATCTCTCTTAAATTTCTGCTAACCCTCCCCACTCCCTCTTCTTTTCCTTCCTTCCCTCCCTCCCTCCCTCCTTCCTTCCTTTGTTTGGGTTACTGGGGATTGCATATTCTACTACCCAGCTACAGTCACAGATCCTTATTTTATTTTGAGATGGCCATGAATCTATGATCCTCCTGCCTCAGGCTCTCAAGTCGCAGGAATTACCAACAAGTGCCACCACACCTGACTTGATTTCTTAAAAAAATCACTCCAGTGGATGAGAAGTGGCATTTCACTGTTTTTTTTTTTTGTTTTTTTTTTTTTTTACTGATATTTCCCTAATGCCTGGTGATGATGCACCTATAAACTTATTAGCCACTTGTAGATAGCCTTTGTTGGCCTGGAACATGCTGTGTAGACCAACTGGCCTTGAACTCACAGAGATCTGCCTCCTGAGTGCTGGGATTTAAGGTATGTGCCACAACACCCAGCCCCACCCAGATTTGTAAATCTTATTTGCAGAAACTTTTATTCAAGTATTTTATAAAATTTTGATTATTTTGTTGTATTGTTGTATAGCATTGGAGGGATTCTTTACATAGTCTAGATATTAGTCCTTTATCAGATATGCAAATATTTTCATACACCTGTTAAGTTGTATTTTCATTCTCTTGACAGTGTTCTTTATTATACAGGAGATTTAATTTTGCTAAAGTCCAATTCATCAGCTTTTTGTTACTTTTATCTGTGCTTTCAGTATGTTAACCAAGAAAGCACTGCCACATTCAATGTTATATTTTCTTCTGTTTTCTTCTAAGATCTATGGTTTTTAGATCTTACATTTAGGTCTTTGATTCATGTTGAATTAAGTTTTGTAATGATATCATGTAAAGGTTCAACTTCATGATTTTTCATGTGGATATCCAGTTTTTCTAGCACCATTTGTTGAAAGGAAGGTACATGTTTTTATTTAAGAACAGTTGGGGGCTGGAGAAATGGCTTAGTGGATAACAGCACTAGCTGTTCTTGTAGAAGACCCAGGGGTTCCAACTCCAGCACCCACATGGCAGCTAACAACTGTTTGTAACTTCAGTTTCAGGGGATCCGACATCCTCTTCTGTCCTCCTCAGGTACTGCACGACACTGGTGCACTTACATGCAGGCATAACACTCATACACATGAAAAATAAAAAAAAATACATTTAAAAAAAAAAAGAAGAAAGAAAGAAAAGTTCAGCACTTGGGAGGCAGAGGCAGGCGGATCTCTGTGAGTTCGAGGCCAGCCTGGTCCACATAGCTCCAGGACAGCTGAGGCTACAGGGAGACTTGTCTCAAAAAGACCAAAAAAAAAAAAAAAAAGGGGGAAAGTTAAAGTATGTTCACATACTTTCATGTAAAAACATGAAATATCCAGGGCCAGCAAGATGTCTCAGTGAGTAAAGGCATTGCTGCCAAGCCTGATGGCCAGAGTTCAAACCTTGGTACCTACAGTGGAGGGAGAGAACCAAATGTCACAGATTGTCCTTTGACCTCCATTAATACAGTATGGTGCATGCATGAGTGCGTGCGCACACATACACACACACACACACACACACACACACACACACACACACACATACACACACACAAACATACCAAATAAAATGTGATAAAATTTCTCAAACATGGCGTATCCAGAAAGATACACACTAAACAATAAGGACTGTGTTTGATAAAAACAAAACAATTACCAAACAACAGGATACACAAGAGCTATGGTTTGGGGGCTGGAGAGGTGGTTCAGCAGTTAAGAACACTGGCAGCTCTTACAGAGGATCCAAGTTTGGTTCCCAGCACCCACACAGTGGCTTACAACCATCTCTAACTCCAGCTCCCACATCCTCTTCTGGCCTCCCCAGGCATGTATGTGATGCACAGGTATACATGCAGGTAAAAACATTCATATGCATAAGATAAAAAATAAAATCTTTTTTTTTGAAAAAGGAACTATGGCTGGGCATTGTGGTACAGGCCTTTAATCCCCACACTTGGGAGGCAGAGACTGGCAGTTCTCTGTGAAATTGAGGCCAGCCTAGTCTCCACAGAGAGTTCCAGGTCAGCTGTGGCTACAGGGACACCTGCCTCAGAAAGACCAAATAAATAAATAAATAAATAAATAAATAAATAAATAAATAGCTATGGTTTTTACTATGCCTAATTTCATACTATTTACATTATTTATAAGTCTATATTTCTGTATTATGCAGTTTTTAAAAATATTTTATTTATTATTTTTATTTTATGTGTATGAGTATATTGCCTGTATGCATGTGAATGGACCCATGTCATGCAATGCAGCAGAGGTCAGAAGGCTTTGGATTCCCCTAGAACTGGAGCTAAGGACGGTTTGTAGCCGCCATGTGGGTGCTGGGAATCGAACCCGGGTCCTCTGCAAGAGCAGTCAGTGCTCTTAACCGCTGAGCCATCTCTGAGCCAGCCCTACTTATGCAATTTTTACAAAGAAGACAATTTTGCTTTTTTTCAAGAGAAGTTGGTCAGATGTCAAAGCATGAGCCAATGGGGCCAAGAGGGCCAAGAGTCAATATTTTGGCAGGCTAAAGATCCAAATTAAATAGAAACACTGCTGTAGTGTGAAAGGAATTGGTTCTGGCAACAGCAAACAGAGACTGTAAAGAAAGTTTTGTCTTAATTCTAACCCTTTACGCTCCTATAATCCTCCATTCCCATACACTCTTCAGCATTTGCACAGCACATGTTTTCCTTATATCCACATGAGGTAGCTGAAGACTCAGAGGTCCCTGTGAATTTTCCTAGAGCAAAGCAGCAAGAATTACAATGAGTCTCTCATGCAAAGGTTGGATGGTTGCTCAGAGGATGAAAACTGAATCATTTTAATCAGAAGTTAAAAGCACTTGCTGCTCTGGGGGCTGGAGAGATGGCTCAGCAGTTAAGAGCACTGACTGCTCTTGCAGAGGACTCGGGTTCGATTCCCAGCACCCACATCACAGCTACGAACTATCCTTAACTCCAGTTCCAGGGGAATCAAAAACCCTCTTCTGACCTACACGGCATTGCACAACCTGGGTCCACTCACATACATGCAGGCAATACACTAATACACATAAAATAAAAATAATAAAAATAAAAAATAAAGCACTTGCTCTTGCAGAGGGCCAAGTTCAATTCCCAGCATCCACATTAGATGGCTCACCTCTGCCAGAGGGATTCAATGCCTCTGGCCTTCATGGGCACCTGCACTTATGTGCACATGCCTATACACAGACACATACAAGTACACATAATTGAAAAATAATTTTTAAAAACCAGTAGACTAATACTAGTAAACTATTAGCCTAAATAGAATGGCTTTAGTGGAGGAAGAGTTTACTCTCACCTGTGAAGTCCCTTTGGCTATACAAGGTGACACATTCACAGGCTCTGAGGATTAGGACATGGACATCTAACAGAGGATGTAGAGCTAGAACAATATTCTACTTACCAAAAGTACCTTTCTTGCTGAACACAGTGGTTCATACGTGTAATCCCAGCAGCAGGGAGGCAGAGCAGCCTTTTTATGGAGGAAGAAACTATCAAGCTCTGAACTTCTCATAGCTGATCCTTCCCTCCCAGTTCATTACCTAAAGTTCTATGAGCTGGTGTAGAAGAAATATAAATGGGTTTTTATTAGCCAAGAGCTTTGAAAGATACTAAAGAAATGGGATAAGCAGAAGGATTTGATTAAAGTTAATTCTTGAGAAGTTAAGAATGCTAGGATGGGTGGTGAGAGTGATGGCTGGACAGTAAAGAGCACTTCCTGTTCCTGCAGAGGACTGAGTTCAGTTTCCAGCACCCAGGTCCAGCGGCTCACTACTGCCTGTAATTCCAGCTCCAGGGGATCTGATGCCTTCTTCTGAATACCTTAAGCACCTGCACTCACATGTACGTGCACACACACACACACACACACACACACACACACACACACACTCATACACATACATAATTAAAAATAAACATTTTTAAAACTGCTAGAATCTGGACTGGAGAGTAGCTCAGCAGTTAAAAGCACTGGCTGCTCTTGCAGAGGACCCAGGTTCGATTGCCAGCACCCACAAGGTGGCTAACAACTGTCTATAACTCCAGTTCCAGGGGAATCTGATGTCTTCTTCTGGTCTCTGTGGGTATTGTACAGCATGAGTGCACTTATACACATGCAGGCAATACACTTATACACATAGAATAAAAAATCGTTATTCTAAAAACAGCTAGAATCTTAAGAAAAGTGTATAGACAGGGTACCATTATCTCAGTAAAGTTTTGAGAAAGTTGGATTTCCTTCTTGATGTCTGAATTGTTGCATTTTATGTTCCCTTGGTTAACCAAAGAATGAGCAGACCAGAAAAAAAGTAAGCTCTAACAATAAATCCCTCTATCTAGAGTAGAGGGCATTAAACTCTTGAGTTGGGCAATGGTTGGGAAAGAGGTAAACAAAAGCATAGACAGCATAGTGTACCTGTTGGAGAATAAAATAGGAGAATTAAGTAATTTAATTGGTCATTTAAAACATTAAAATTAATCAAATATAAGTCTAATGTAAACACCAAGTTTTTTTTAACCAATTGAAGTTTTGTTTTTTGACTATTGGCTTGATTGTTTGGGGGGGATTGTCTTAGTTTAGTTTGGTTTGGTTTTTTGAGACAGGGTCTCATCATGTTACCGAGCTTACCTTCAACTTGATAGTCTCAAGTGATTCTCCTGTCTCAACCTCTCAAATAGCTGGGATGACACATGTAGGACACCGTGTCCTATGATTTGAAGACTTTTTTTAAAAGATAAAATAGGAAGAAGGCCCTCAGAAGATTTCACTGATCCTGTACAGATCCACTCATGCTGGGCTCTCCTCGTGCTGCTTTGCTGACACAAGTTCTCCAGTACAAGTTGAAAAGACTCCCTTCAGTGTCCAAGGACAGACACACTCTGACCAAAGAACAACCTGAAACAACTGATAGAATTTGCAACTAAATAACATGTGGTCACCATGAACACACAGTCATTCTCTTCAGATTGGATTTGATGGAGCGAAAATACGACCTGATAAATCTTTTTTCAGTGTATGGCTTTGCAAATTGGACTGTTCTTACCTTAAAGGAAGAATCAGATCCTCTAAAATCAAAGCCTTTAACTATTTCAATATTTTTCTTTGCTTTCTCATAGTTATTGATGTTAAATGTTCATCTGACCATATTTTCTACTTCAAGTCTTTGTTTTTCTTTTTTTTTAACATTTAAAACTTTCATCTTGTGATAGAGTGCTTTGGCTAGGTTGTGCACAACTCTAGGTTTGATCCCCAGTACTGAAAAGAAGAAACTTGTTTTTACCCAATTCAGATCAAGGAAGGTGATTTCTGCAAAGCCCTAATTTAACATGTAAACAAACCCTGATAATTCCACTTACAGACCCTATTCGGAGGCTAATCACTGGCTAAAATCACTTGCTTCTCTTGCAGAGGACCAAGTTTGGTTTCCAGCACCCACATTACGTGGCTCACCCCTGCCAGAGGAATCCAATGCCTCTGGCCTTCATGGGCACCTGCACTTATGTGCAAATGCCTATACATAGACACATACAAGTACACATAATTGAAAAATAATTTTATAGCCAGGTGTGGTGGCGCACGCCTTTAATCCTAGCACTTGGGAGACAGAGGCAGGCAGATCTCTGTGAGTTCGAGGCCAGCCTGGTCTACATAGTGAGTTCCAGGCCAGCTGGGGCTACAGGGAGCCCCTGTCTCAAAAAGACCAAAAAAAAAAAAAAAAAAAAAAACAAAAAAAAAATATAAAAAAAGAAAAAAAAAAAAAAAAAAAAAAAAAAAAAAAAAAAGAAAAGAATTTTATAAAACCAATAGACTAATACCAGTAAACCATTTGCAAAAATAGAATGGTTTTAGTGAGGGAAGAACGTTTTACCTCTGAAAACTACTCTAAAATTAGTTTTAATGTTTTACTTTAATGTTTTTACCTTTATGCTCTACCTCTGAAAACTATACTAAAATTATTATATAGCCATCATTACTTTAAGTCAAGTTACCTGGCTCGGAGATGTGCCATAGGAAACTAGTCTAATTATCAAAGTGCATAGATCAGAAATTCTTAAGAAGGTGAGACGGGAAGTGAAAAGTGTGATATTATCCATGCAATGGGATAATTGATTTAAATTAGTATTGGGAAAAGATGCCAACAAAAGCATGGTTAGTGCTGCGTAAGCGTATTACTCCTTCACAGGGACATAATCATCCAGAAGTGGAGTCAAAATGAGCAGTAATCAGCATAGTGCATTTGCACAGCAGGGGAACCTAGAATTCCTTAATTTATAGAGCAGCCTCATAAAGCACATAGCCTGGGGCTGGAGAGATGGCTCAGCAGTTAAGAACACTGGTTGTTCTTGCAGAAGACCCGGGTTTGAATCCCAGCACCCACATGGCAGCTAACAACTGTCCGTAACTCCAGTCCCAGGGGATCTGACGGCCTCTTCTGACCTCTGCAGGATTGCGTGACATGGGTACACTTACCAATATGCAGGCAATACACGCATACACATAAAATAAAAATAATAAATAAAATTAAAAAAAATAAATAATTAAGCACATAGCCTTAGGGCTAGCAATGTGGCCCATAAATATCTCCCTGGGTCTAATGTAGCAACAAAATTTGAAAGAGCTCTCTTGGTTGCTGTGTCAGTGTTATAAAATTTCTTATCTCTTAGGCAGATGCTGAATATCTATCTGGGCCCACTTAAAAAAAAAATAGATGGTCTTACTTTCCTGAAGGAGAATATGGACTTATATTAACAAATGATTTTCTTTTAAAAACACTGAAATTCATGTAAAAGCTTCCCGTATACAAAACAATACCAGCCAACATACAGATAAGAAGCATACACACATATACACAGCACATGATGTTTCCAAACAGGGATAGCCTACCCACATATAGATAATTTGAATATAACTTGAAGAATACTGAATAGAGCTACTGCCTAAAGTATATGCAAGTCCATCACCAAGAATTGGAATTAAGCATTCTGTCATGCTTATCTTTGGTTTGATTAATGGAAGAATAACAAAGGTGGGAATATTAAAAAAAGTTATCAGTGATTGCGAATTATTAAAACATGCCTTACATAATGGTTTTACATGTTTAAGTGAACAAAGTTTACTATAACATATCAAATAATACAAATATGTGGAAACAAAAAGTTAACAATTTCTTCCTTCTCAGCTTTATTACTCAATAACTTATTGATTATACAAATTAATTGATTACTGAGCTGACCATTTTCTAGACTACAAGAATACTGCAATAAGAAGACAGAATCCCTGTCCTCAAGGACCAACATTCTATGAGAACCAAAAAGTAAACAATAAATAAAAGATGAAGAAGGGCGGAGAGATGGCTCAGAGCTTCCTGCTCTACTAGAGGACCTGATTTTGGTTCCCAGCACCCATGTCTGGTGGCTGAAAATCACCTGTAACTCCAGGTCCAGGAGAGCGAATGCCCTCTTCTGACCTCCTTGGACACGTGCATTCAAGCAGCAGACACACATACATACACAAAAAGAAAAATTTAAAAATTAATATTTTTTTAAAAAGATAGGTAAAATATTCAGGAAGCCTCTTCTAAGAGCTAACATTTGAGCAACGACCTGAATAAAGTGAAGAAAGGAGCTAAGTACCTGTCAGGGGGAAGGTGTCAGAAGGAACCACAAGTACAGCTTGTGCTTAGCATCTCTGAGAAGCAGCAAGAAGGTTAGGTGCAGCAAGCAGGATGAACAAGGAAAGGCCTTCTTATCCCTTTCTTAAAGCTCTGTACTCTCCCGTAGGGCTGCCAAGCAAGTATAGTTCAATTCATTCATTCCATTTATTCTCAATTTTTAGTGACTCAAAAATATTTACTTTTGTGAATGATTTCCACAATTCCAAATTCAAATGTACAGTGCAATATTCAAAAAGTTAAGCTTCTATTCTTGTTTCTTCCACTCTATTCCTTCCATCCTTGAGCACTATGAACCTCATAGCAGTTCACCTTAATCCTTGTCTACAGAGCAAGTTTCAGGCCAACCTGGGATACAAGAGATCCTGTCCAGAAAAAAAGAGAAGGGGAAGGGAAGGGAGGGGAAGAAGAAAGGGATTGAGAGTGTGTGAGAGAGTGTGTGTTCGGGTGGGGATGTAGAGAAACTGAAAACCTTGGATTTACTGTTGTAAAATGTAAAATGGTAGAGTCATTGTGAAAAACATACAGCAATTTCTCAAAAAGTTAAAAAGAGAATTCGTATGGTCCAGCAGTTTTACTTTTAGATATATGCCCAAAAGAACTGAAAGTAGAGACTCAAACAGGTATTTCTACACCCGTGTTCATGGCAGCACTATTCACAAGAGCTAATGGATACCCACGTATCCATTACCAATGAATGGACAAGCAAAATGCGAT